TTCGAGAATTTGTGTTCTGGTAATTTCGAGAATGTGATTTCAATTTCTAGGCATGTTGGGGCTAGTTTTCATGACAAAAAATTAGAATTCGTTAAAAAGGTAACTATAATTTAAGGAAATGCTCAATTCACTTGCCAGAGCAATAGACTTGTAATGGGGAACTAGGCTTTTTGCCCGAACGCAACTTTTACTAATCTGTAAGAAAGTTTTTGCTTTATTATGGAATCTCAACCTTTTCCAGTCCCATTCCACTTGGTCTGTTGGAAAAGCCCGCGTTTTTGGAGCCGAATGCATAGAGATCCAATCTCGACCTTCCTTGTTTTTTCTTTGTATGAAATGATTAATTTTCTGATAAAATTTAAATTGTCGTTATATCGTTTTTTTGTCAGCATAATTTCAAAAGCATGGATTTTTTCTTTTTTTTGTTATAATTGCAAGTCGTTTTGTAGTTTCTAAATTAACAGCTCTGATTTTGAATTAATTTATTTTTTTTCGCCTAAATGGTTTTGGTTCATTTCATATTGCCTCAGTCATCGTATCTTTTGTCGTTTGACAAGCAGAACTACATTTTAATGGTTTTAAACGTTTCAGGAGGCTTGTAAGAGGGTGGGTGTCTTCCAAAATTAAAACAGAATAGTTCAAAGTTTTAATCGAAACGATCTTATTATGGCAATGTTGGCTAACTGGGTACTAGTAAAAATTATGATTGCTTTTTATGCGCTGTTGACTGAGTTTCTCTTTGTAGTTTTAGTTCGATTGATTTTTCAAAGCTTCATAACTTAAGTTTTCTCTCATCTTGAAACAAAAAGCTGTTTTGTTGAAATGCTACTGTTTTTATTAAAGAACTCAGTATTTGGAGCACTTCCAGAACACTATAGAGACCCTATTTTGATCAAAAATTAGCGCCTCAAGCAACTTTTTGAAAGGCAATTTTTTGGACACTTTTTGGAAAGTTTTGTCCATAAAATTCCGTTTTTTTTCGGCGCTCGTCACCCCTTCAAAATTAAATTATATTTGCGCCAAAGGCGCCTTTAGAAGTTTTTACGGTTGATCGGCCTCAGATGGATGTCATTAAATATTACCCAAGGGGGACCATTTGCTTGGTGATGGGGGCGTCCGTTCCCCCTCCCAAATCCGCCCTGCTGTAGGTCCTTTTTGAGAAGATTTGGTAATAAATCGAATTACTCAATTGGAAAAGAATTCTCAAATTTATCATTGAAGTTAATTCTGAAATCTTAAAAGTGGTTTATAAAGAAACTGATGCTGAATAGTATGTCAATTTTAAAAAGCTTTATTTTGAAAATTTTTTAGATTCTAAAGAAGTACCGTTTCAAAATATAAAAACAGAATTTTAAGTCAGGAGATTGAAATCCCTTTTTATCTTGGTTCAAGTCCTATCTTAATTTAAAAAATTTGTTGCATTATCGAGAATTTGTTTTCTTGTAATTTCGAGAATGTGATTTCATTTTCAAGGCATGTTGGGGCTAGTTTTCATGACAAAAATTTAGAATTCGTTAAAAAAGGTAACTATAATTTAAGCAAATGCTCAGTTCACTTGCCAGAGCAATAGACTTGTAATGGGGAGCTAGGCTTTTTGCCCGAACGCAATTTTTACTAATCTGTAAGAAAGTTTTTGCTTTATTATGGAATCTCAACCTTTTCCAGTCCCATTCCACTTGGTCTGTTGGAAAAGCCCGCGTTTTTGGAGCCGAATGCATAGAGATCCAATCTCGACCTTCCTTGTTTTTTTCTTTGTATGAAATGATTAATTTTCTGAGAAAATTTAAATTGTCGTTATATCGTTTTGTCAGCATAATTTCAAAAGCATGGATTTTTTCTTCTTTTTTTTTTGAACATTTTTTGTTATAATTGCAAGTCGTTTTGTAGTTTCTAAATTAACAGCTCCGATTTTGAATTAATTTATTATTTTTCGCCTAAATGGTTTTGGTTCATTTCATATCGCCTCAGTCATCGTATCTTTTGTCGTTTGACAAGCAGAACTACTTTTTAATGGTTTTAAACGTTTCAGGAGGCTTGTAAGAGGGTGGGTGTCTTCCAAAATTAAAACAGAATAGTTCAAAGTTTTAATCGAAACGATCTTATTATGGCAATGTTGGCTAACTGGGTACTAGTAATAATTATGATTGCTTTTTTTGCGCTGTTGACTGAGTTTCTCTTTGTAGTTTTAGTTCGATTGATTTTTCAAAGCTTCATAAATTAAGTTTTCTCTTATCTTGAAACAAAAAGCTGTTTTGTTGATATGCTACTGTTTTTATATAAGAATTCAGTATTTGGAGCTTTTCCAGAACACTATAGAGACCCTATTTTGATCAAAAAATTAGCGCCTCAGGCAACTTTTTGAAAGGCAATTTTTTGGACACTTTTTGGAAAGTTTTGTCCATAAAATTCCGTTTTTTTCGGCGCGCGCTACCCCTTCAAAAATAAATTATATTTGCGCCAAAGGCGCCTTTAGAAGTTTTTAGGGTTGATCGGCCTAAGATGGATGTCATTAAATATTACCCAAGGGGGACCATTTGCTTGGTGATGGGGGCGTCCGCTCCCCCTCCCAAATCCGCCCTGCTGTAGGTCCTTTTTGAGAAGATTTGGTAATAAATCGAATAACTCAATTGGAAAAGAATTCTCAAATTTATCATTGAAGTTAATTCTGAAATCTTAAAAGTGGTTTATAAAGAAACTGATGCTGAATTGTATTTTAATTTTAAAAAGCTTTTTTTTGAAAATTATTTAGATTCTAAAGAAGTACCGTTTCAAAATATAAAAAATAGAATTTTAAGTCAGGAGATTGAAATCCCTATTTATCTTGGTTCAAGTCGTATCTTAATTTAAAAAATTTGTTGCATTTTCGAGAATTTGTGTTCTTTTAATTTCGAGAATGTGATTTTATTTTTAAGGCATGTTGAGGCTACATCGTTAAAAAAAGGCAACTATAATTTATGGAAATGCTCAGTTCACTTGCCAGAGCAATAGACTTGTAATCGGGAACTAGGCTTTTTGCCCGTACGCAACTTTTACTAATCTGTAAGAAAGTTTTTGCTTTATTATGGAATATCAACGTTTTCCAGTCCCATTCCACTTGGTCTGTTGGAAAAGCCCGCGTTTTTGGATCCGAAGGCTTAGAGTTCCAATCTCGGACCCTCCTTGTTTTTTTCTTCGTATGAAATGATTAATTTTCTGAGAAAATTTGAATTGTCGTTATATCGTTTTTTTGTCAGCATAATTTGAAAAGCATGAATTTTTTCTTTTTTTTTAAACATTTTTTGTTATAATTGCTAGTCGTTTTGTAGTTTCTAAATTAACAGCTCTGGTTTTGAATTAATTTCCTTTTTTTGCCCCATTGGTTTTGGTTCATTTCATATTGCCTCAGTCATCGTATCTTTTGTCGTTTGATAAGCAGAACTACATTTTAATGGTTTTAAATGTTTCAGGAGGCTTGTAAGAGGGTGGGTGTCTTCCAAATTTAAAACAAAATAGTTCAAACTTTTAATCGCAACGATATTATTATGGCAATGTTGGCTAACTGGCTACTAGTAAAAAATATGATTGCTTTTTTTGCGCTGTTGACTTAGTTTCTCTTCGTAGTTTTTGTTCGATTGATTTTTCAAAGCTTCATAACTTAAGTTTTCTCTTGTCTTGAAACAAAAAGCTGTTTTGTTGATATGCTACTGTTTTTATATAAGAACTCAGTATTTGGAAAACTTTTCGTGATTTTGTCGGTTTCGCCAAGTTCTCTAACAGTTTCGAACTATGTGCACGTGATTTTTGAGATAAATGCAATATTTATTCTTAGTGTCAATGGACGCACTGAAGACACTTACATAGGTCGTGATGATTTTTGTTTCTTATTAGGCAAAAGTTTTAGTATGTTCTAATCAAGTTTGATCTTTGTGCGGTTTGATTTTTAATATCAATTCAAATTCATTTGATAAAAAGAGAGCAAACTGCGATCTCCAATTACGAAAGCAAAAATAGCGCAAAAACTTCTAGTTTTGAACTTGGATTTAAATTTTTAGATTTTGCAGCGGAATAAAAATGTTCTTATTGGTCCAGGTTTTTTTTTAATCAAAAAAGTGTCAATCATAAATTGTTCTCAAAATTCATAGAGTTATAAGACTTATTTTTCCTTTGAATTTCAAAGTTTTTCAAAAAGTATGTCAGTAATTTTTTTTTCGATTTCTTTGCTTTCATTGGCACTTTTCCAACTGTCTGTAGCTTATTTTCAAATTGCATATTTCAAAATTTTGTTCTCAACGTCGCATATGATCGAAGCCGTGAATTCGAGGAAAATTGGATGAAGTCACTTATCGCTCTCTGCGATATTCTAAGAAAAGCGACTAAATATACAGTATTAAAGGGTTTATTTAGGATTCAGTAAAATAAATTTCGCACCCACATTCCCCCTCCCCCTCCCAACAAAAAACTAATGCGCAGCAACCGGTTCATTTGTTTCGGCACTAATTGAACTATTGAACTACTCGCAGTATTAAAGGAATATAGATAATTGTTTACAAATTTGAGTACATTACAAAGCTAGAGTGTAATTAAATGGAGTGTTTTTTCAAATTTCATTTTAAACTTCTTAAGGTCAGCGATGATTTTAAAAAAAAAGATGTTTTAAGTCAGTCATAACCTCCCATATCTTCGACATAATTGTTAGCGTCACTGTACCTCAAAAATAATGTATAGTGACACCGAAAGATGTCCTTTTGACTAATGCAGGGGACCCGTCTAACATGTTTGTCTTAAATAGATATGGTTCGTTTTATGTCATTAATGTTTTTTACGCCGTTTCTCATCTAAGTTGGTGTTCATTGAAAATCTGGAAAATTGAAGAAAATTGAGCCAAGCGACCAAAATTTGTTCCAATGCATCAAAAGTTGAGTTTTTTTCAATACGCTTCGTTCTATCAAAATGGGCACGGTGTACCGAATTTTAATTTTTTTCAAAAAACGCACGATTATAATTGGCTTCTATTTATTTAGGCGCGGAATAGTTGAAAACGAAGTCATCGGTAGACAATCTCGTTGACCTTATTACAACATAAGTTCAACAGAATCTACCAAACGACATAACTGTTGGATTTGGATAGCTGCATTTGTCCGCTCAGCTCGTTTTGCATTAGCGCAAATACTCATTCAATCAATCGACGAAACAACTTCGTTCGACTTTTGGCACAAACTTACTCATAGTTTCGTGTCTGCACAGCTGAACAAGGTCTGAACAAAATGGTAGTTTTGACTGAAAAAGAAACGGCCGCGGTTGTGTCAAATATCCCAAACAACTTAGCAAATGGCAATGGAAACGCCAATACTCTAACTAATGGGTCAGATGATCACGGAATAGGCGCTGAGTTGTCTAGCACCGAAGCTCAGAAACCCTTTCAGATGAAGCGAAAGCTCCCAGATGATAGCCAATTTACTACGGACGGCGATCCAAAAAATCAGAAAACTGAAGACGGCAGTCGGTATGTTTGCGTTTTGTCTTCCATTATTTTACCAAAGTTATTCAATAAAATTTACTCGGTTTTAATTTAAAGGCCCCTCGGAAAGAAACCCTGCAATCAAAACGGAAACCATGAAGTCATAGCTGAAAAAGACGTTAAACAGGAAAATGGCGACATCATTGGAGAAGATCCTGTCGAAATTCATGGGTCAGTGCTTAAGTTTTCATTTTCTAATTCGTATTGCTTCTCGCCTCAAATATTCTAGCTTAGCAGAATAATCTTGACTTATTATTGGGGTGACATATTTCGACTCTTGAGCTTATAAACTTGCATCATTTAGGGGATACTTTACTTAAATGCAACAGCAATAACAATTTGAATTCGTTTCTCATAATTCAATATTTCTCTCATAAATCACTGTGAAAATTTAAGTCATAAGTTCAACCCAAAACAAAACCCCTTGGTCAACAGAACGATATCGGTTTACAGTTCATTGAAGCATGGTAATGGTTTTCGACCTTTGAAAACCCACTGAATATTATATTAAAATGTCGCCGCTAATAGTGTTGCTGTTGACGCTTAAATGGTGAAAAGAGGCAATGACGTCGGCAGCCCTTTTTCTGATGACGTTTTTTTGCAGGTCATGTGGTCCTTTTATTCTTTTTTTCTCAAGAGAGTTAAACTCGGTGCTTTGGCCATAATCTCATGTGAACACAATTTATTCGGCGTACATGACTCAAGACATCTAAATATACTACATACAATTCTATCGATCAGCTGAAAATCGAAAATGTTTTGTCTTTTTATCACATAAAAATATTAGTGTGCGCCAATTTTTTGTTCACTCATGTTGGATGAACAGCAAATGCATAAAATATCAGCATCGATTTATCGGTTTTTGTAAAGAGCATATGCTATACAAAGCATGCTCGTACCGTAATGAACCATGCAATACACTGCATAAAGGTTAGCATGGGTTTCCCCAAAGGTTATTTCCACCCTTATTTCTCCACAGGTTTAAACTTAACTTGAAAATAGGGACGTATTTTTCATGTTATTGGTGGTATCTCATTTTGGTGCCATTTGTCTTGGTTGATGAACGAGAAGAGCTCATACAATACTTTTCACATAAATTATGGGCAAAGGTTGCTATGTACTTCAGGAATTTTCTCACCCATCTTTTTAGTGAAATCTGAGCACGTTGAAGTTGTATGAAGTAAAATTTCAGTGCTTAATATTTTTCTCAAACAATTGACAAAAGGTACCCCGTCTGTTTTCTAGTTTCAGCTGGACACATTCGTGTTAATACTTAGACCATTATTCAATCTTGGCTTACTTTCATTTTCCTTAGTCTCAATAGATCCTATCATAAAAAAACTGGTTTGCAAAGTTATAATTGAGATCAAATGTTTCCAATCTGAATTCAAGTCTGTTATCGGCCTAAACTTCACAATTCTAACATAGGGTTTAGTAAAATAAAAGATGATAACTAATAATTGGTTAGAAAAAATGTTTTTCAGTAAAGTTTCTTCTGAAATATGGAATGTAAAGGCTAGAGCTAATTATTCCAACTTTCGAAGAAAGAGCCGGAATATTTGTGTTTGGGGTGATTTCTTCGGACAAATTTCAACATTTAAACTAGCCATTTTAGGTGGATTTTTTAAAAGTCATCTGAAAAGTATTGATGTTCTGAGCTCAAATTTGAAAAAATAAATTATCTGTGATATTTTTCCTTTTTAGTTAATCTATGGGCGTTTGAAAAAAGCCCTTTGAGACATTTTAACGCGCAATATGTGCAATCTATACATAGTTTATACGTGCAATAATACGGCTCAGAACTCATTCCTAATTAAATGAATTCTTTTTATTATCAAAATCTCTGGAAACCACAAAAAGTGTCAAAATCATTAGTAATTTATTTACCTATTTTAAACGAGTCAGACTTAAGATGAGACTGTCAAAAGGAAAAAAAAACTTTTGGTTTTCCAATGGCAATGTTTTGACAATTCGAAATCGCAACTTTAACAATTAAGGCAAGAGTTCAAATAAATACGGTAATGAAGATCGGGGCGTTCTAGAGGGCTAAAGTACAAGAAGGCTGAAGGCTAAAATTTGGTTCAAATTGCTGTAGATCCCCGTTTGAGAGCATTTTAGTTTCTTTTCAAATTGAGCTTACTGAATTAATTTTTCGTTTGCTTGAGATTCAGAAAAAAAAATCAAGTTTTTTTTGTTACTTGCTGTAGTATTTGCTTACTTGCATAAATTTAAGACGACATTTCAGGGGAGTTATTAACAGTTGATGAACGTAGTTCAGACTCTTATATAGATTGCGATAGTTTTTTTTTGGGAAAAGTTATAATTCGTTGAGGCTCAAATGTACTTTTTCCAGGTTTGACTTTCGATTTTTTTTCAGTTAGGTTCATTTCTTTTGTTAAAACGAAGGCAAACGCCACTATCCAACAGCAAAAAATGTAAAGGCCACGAAAAAGGCGATCGGATTCTAGTTTTGAAAATGCAATTTAATTTTGAGATTTCGCTGCGAAATGAAAATTTAACTTATTGATCCAGTTTTCTCAAATTAATTTTTATCAAAAAAGAGCCAATGATAAATTGTTCTAGAAATTCAAAGAGTTTTCAGGGCATCTCTTTTTCCGTTTGAAAGTTGAAATTTTTGCATAAAACAAGTTTTCTGCTTACTTGCGTTAATTGACTTTTTTCCAACTGTCTGTTGGCCATATTTCGTTTCTTTTGATTGATGCCGACAGCAATTTAAGTTTTCATCTTTGCCTTCTATGGGGTTTCGTTTTTGTTCTGACCATGCAAAGTGGCGAGCAGTTTTGTGCGAATAGAGTCGGCTTATAATAGGTTTATTGTAGTAGTCTTTTAAATCAAGTTAAGCCGTGAAATTTTAATTTTGTTTCAGCGAAATTAGTTTTTAAAATGTCTCTAAGTGTTTTGCTTTAATTACTTTAGTTTGCTTGCGGTAACTAACACGCTGCACGGCATATACAGTTCTTAAATTCCATTATGGTCTCCTTAATTTGCTAAAATTTGAGCCGATGAAATGACAATCAAAAATGAAAAAATCAAAGACGCTCTAAAAAACTTAACAACAATTTTTGAGGGCGATTGGAGAGGTTGATCTTAAATTGAACAATCTTGTCTTTCATAGATTGTGATTCGGTCTCTAATAATCCTACGTTATATAAATAGAAAGATGACATATGATTAAAATAATCCCACGATCTCAAAGTCGACACTCAATAAGACGGAAATCAAGAAACTTTTGACAAAAAAAAAATTGTAAGGGAAGGATGCTGAGGGTACTCGACAAAGTGCCAACATGGATGGACCACCTACATAGGAACTACGAGTGCACATTTACCATTTCTCATTCTACCACTGTTAGGATAGTTGTTTGCGGAAAAAAGTCTGGTACTCGATTACATTACACTTGCTAATCGCAAGAGTTATTGAATGATTAAAGAAAAATTTAATTGTCCTCATAGGAATTGTGATCACAGTTCAAGGAATTTGTCTTTTGGGAGGCCTAAAAGAATAATTAATGCTACAAAAATCTCCGGAAGATGTTTTTTGTCCATAGCGTTCTATAACGTTCCTCTAGCGAAAAAATACATTTTGAAGATTTTTTGCCTGTAGCTTATTTTTACTACAAAGGTACGTCATACAAGGTCGAGTCATATATCCTTTGGAAGGTTACGTAGCAGCAAGTGGACAACTGCGTTATTATACTCGCCAGTGGGTAGACAAATACTATATTAATCAATAAGAATCCGGAAGAAGAAAGCAATTGTGCAAAAAAGAGTATTAATTTTTTTTGCGTATGTTTGCTCTTAAGATTCGATGAACGTAGTTCGGACTGTTATATAGATTGTGATGATTTTGTTTTCGGTTTTTTTCAGGAAAGTTTTAAAATGCTGTAATAACAAAAGAAGTGGTTTCTACTTATAAATGCACATATGAATGACCTGTATTATATATGCACTTTTTGAGTTCAAACTTTTCCTAATAATCCAGTTTTCTCAATTTGGGTTATTTTTATCGAAAAAATGCCAGCCATAGTTTTCTCTTGAAATTCGAAGAGCTTTAAGGCCATCTACTTTTTATTGTAAAATTCGTAAGTTTAAGTTTTTTTTAAAAAAAATATGTCGGTTTTTTATTTCTGTTTCTTTGCGTTCATTGACTCTTTTCCAACCATCTGTTGGCTTTTGTTTTATCTCAATTCTGATTAGTTAATATAGTAGTTGTCTACTTACACCCGAGTTTGAATACGCGTTTTTCTATTTACAGACCGCACTCCCCTCTGGAAGCGCTTTCGGTCGTGATACGATTCGTATGAAGTTTCGTTTTAACCGTTGTCACCAATTTAGAGTGAAGAGCTGATGAGTTCACTCTTCACTGGCGACAGCGAAGAGACTACAAAATTCTCGTCTAAGTTAATTAAGCTGTTTAAGAGTAATGCACGTAGTGAGTACTATTATATAGGTCATGATGATTTTTTTGTTTTTTTTTCTGGAAAAAGTCTTAAAATTTGTTCACGCTCAAGTTTGACTTTTCGCGGTTTGACTTGTGATTTATTTTTAATGACCAATTGAGCTATCTCTACCCCCCCTCGAAGCAAAAACTGTATAAAGCTACAAGAAGACGTCAGCAAACGCAAATCAAATAGATGGTTATTGTGTTCGTAGCACGCTATCAATTGACTGACTGAAGTTTATGTTATATGAGTATTGAGAAAAATTTTAAAAAAGAAAAAATCGAAATTTATTTCTAGATTTTTTTTTGCAAATTTTTGTTTGGGCGACCATTGCCTCAACGAGCAAAGCGACTTACCAGGGTTGGTGCTCTAGCCTTGTATCTGAATATCAAAAACTGTTCTCGCAGCTCATTAAAACTGCTTTTTTCCATTTGGGACAGAAAAAAGGCGCTTTCTGCAACTAAAGTCGTCTCAGTTTCATTGATTCTTTTTTCAAGCTGAATTTAACTTTTGAGCTTTGATATTGTAAATTTTGGCATTCCACTATCGTTGAAGAATCTGATTTCATATCATTCAAACAATTTTGAAGTGGTTATAAACATGTCTCAAGTACCTATTGAGCTATCTCCCCCCACCCCCACACGAGAATGGGGGGGGGGGGATTTCTCAATTGATTCCATTTCAATAATTAAAAGGAAGGCAAACTCCAATATCGAACAGCAAAAGTGTAAAGGTCACGAAAAACGTGATCGACTTATAATTTCGAAAATGGATTTTCGAAATCAGATTTCCCAGCGAAATAAAAGTTTTACTTATTGATCCAGTTTTCTCAAATTTGGTTAATTTTAACTAAAAAGTGTCCATCATAAATTTTTCTACAAATTTAAAGAGCTTTAAGGCCAAATATTTTTTTTCTTCGAAACTCAAAAGTTGAAGATTTTTGAAAAAACAAGTCGCTTTTTTTCAGTTTCGTTGTCTCATTACTCTTTTCCAACTTTCAGTTGGCTTTGTTAATATATTGTCCCTGTTGATTAAGTATTTGTTCAGCTTTCCCGTACTATTTATATACTCTCTTGTTTCATACACATCTTTGTTTTAAATTAACCGCTGATTCGATCTAATACGCGAGTGATACTCTCCAAAGACACTTATGCACATCCTTCAAAAAGTACAGAAGTTGTTTCTGAAAATCGGAAGCAAATTCGAGCTCGCTTGTTTCCGTAAAGTAATTAAAAACAAAGTTAGACGCTAAAAATTTAAATGCAGTGAAAAAAGCGCGCCGAAGAGGTTGCTGTAATTCTAGAAAAATGCAAGAAGTTAGGTGGGAAAGGTCTGAAATAATATGTTAGGTGCTTTTAAACAATTTTTCATTATTTTGATGTGGTTTCAGGGACGTTGAGGAAAAAACAGATACAAAAGTAGACGAAAAGGAAAAACGCAAGATTGACGCTGCAAAAATAAGAGCCATGTTGATGTTGGAGGAAACGAATTTGCTGCTTCTGAAAAAACTAAAGGCCTCTCAAACGCCGAAACCAGTCCCCTCACTCCCCGCAACAGCCGCCGCGGCATCATCAACAGCCGCCGCAACTGGAAGCAATAATTCAGTGGTGTCTGAACCCGCAGCGGGTCCGAATGTAAACTCGTCTGCTCCAGGATTGGTGAAGCAACTTCCCAAAACGCATGTTCCTTCAGTGCAGAGCAATGTGGTGAGTAGTGTGCAAAATCATGGCAGCGCTAATCATCAGACAAGTGTACAGCTTCAGCAACAACAGAGGCTGCTTGAACAGCTTCAACGATCGGACCAGATGAAAATGGTTGTAAATCAGCAAAATCAAATGGCAAAACAGCAGCATCGAGCAACAGCTATCCCTACTGCCGCCAACCCACCAGTGCCGAGTGTGAACACCAATATACAACAGAGAAACAACATGTCTGCTCAGATTCCAAACAATGTACCGAATGTAACCAAAGGAACCACTGCTAATGCATTGCCGCCCAATGTTGTTCCATCGGGACTGTTTAGGGGTCCACCCCCAGCTGTGACTCCCGGAACTACATCAAATACAGTGCCGACTCATCGAAATTCAGTGCAACAACAGCCGACGGTTCGTGTGGACCCAGCGGCCGCGGCGAAACGTGAACAAGCGGCAAAGTTAGCGCTGAAGAAGCAACTTGAGAAGACATTGTTGCAAATTCCCCCTCCCAGACCTCCGCCGGCAAATCTAGACTTCCTGGTGTGGCCGACTATCGAATTCCTGTACCTCACAGGTTTGGAAGAGACTGTTGAAAACGTGCTCGTGAACACTTTGATGAAACCAAGCAGTGAGAAGAAAAAAGATGGAAAGAAAAAACTTCCACTTCAGTGCGCGCAATGTCAAACCGATTTCACAACTGCCTGGAAACGAGACTTGGACTCGGGTAAAGTGATTTGCGAGCAGTGTCTGGTGAACAACAACAAAAAAGCGGTAAAGAAAGAACACACAAACAGGTTGAAGTTAGCAGTAGAGCAGGCACTGCAGCAAGAGAAAGAAGTTATCCAGAAGTTGAAGGAAGAGGAGAGAAAGCAAACACTAGCGAGTCAACAAGCAGCCGCAGTCAGAGCTCAACAACAACAACAGCAGCAGCAACAACATTTGACGCACAATCAGCCAAGCAACAGTGTCAGTGCTGTCGCTCAAACCATCGCAAACCAAAATGGAACCAACCTTCTCTACGGGCAGCATTCCAAGCAGCACCCGCCTCTGTTCATAAACCCAACACTAGGTGCAGCCCCTGCCGTTTCATCAGCGAACGTGAACGCCAGACCAACAGTGCATCATACGCAACAACATTCAGCACCCAAGGGGCGAATTTTGAACCCAGCACCCGGGGGAGGTCGAATTTTGAACCCAGCGCCAGGAGGAATGAGGAAATACTGATGCTAGTTTTTTTTTCTCGAAGAACTAATCAGTTAAAATTGTTATCAAAAACTGAACTGCACTGTAGAATTTGTCGCTTAACTTTTTGTATTAAACTAAACTGGAAAAAATCTGAAGCCTCCGATAGGAGTTATTTACTTGTTTTTTTTTCGGTGTTTCTCAGCCCAATAAATCTTACTGTGAGTTACTTAAAACGATTTGGTGCTATTCATCGATAAAAAAGAATTGCAGATCGACAAAAAAAGTATTAATCATATTAATAGCATTTTTTCATCCAGAATGACATAAACTCACGAATCTATCAATCAATTAGCTACCGCGCTAAATTATATTTCAACCTCTTTCGTATTTTGAAACTTGTCGCTTTATTTAAACGTCTCTTTGTGGATCAAAATGTTGGTGATAAAAGTTACCCGATATGTTTCTGCTGTGAAGGTGCTTAAAACTGATGTTCCATCATTCCAAAAAAAGTTCATAATTCTGGTTTATTCTTTAATTGTGGTTAAAACATCTGATTTGATTCATCTAAACTCCAGAAGATTTTCTAAATCAAATTTTGGCCAATTGGTGATACCATGATGTTATTGTTTACTCTCTTCATTTCAATAGTTTTGTATTGCTGTAAATTCCGAGAAGCAATATCAAAACATATTTAAACCGTGTCTTATTCGGCATGCTATCCCCCCTCCCCAAAAATGATCCTTCATATCTTCTAGAACCAAACTGAGTTGCAATTATTACATGCATTGCTCGCCACACACTTATAATCATTGTCAGAATTTAATTTTTCAACCACGCCACTTTTTTAAGTGTAAAGAATGTAGTAAAGACAGACCTCCAAGTGGTGCGTTTGTTTTTTTTTGCACTGATTTTCGTAAATCAAATTGTTGTCTTGTGCATTCTACAGTATTTGACTCATGATCTTATTTCCAAACTGAAGATATTTTTTTATCCAACAGAAGTGAAAACTAGCACGAAATACTGAAAAGTGTGGATCGGATAGAATTATTGAGTACCATAAGGACCAGTAGCGTATTAAGGGTGGTAAGCAGGCGTCGGAGGCTCCCTTCCCCTCAGGGAGTCGACCACCTGCTCATTCAATTCGCCCTACCGCTTCAAAAAAAGTTCTAGATCCGCCCCTGATAAGAACAGTTCTTGGTCCTTTTCTGTTCAATGTACACATAACAAAAACCAAAGAAACTCAAGTATTGATTAACATAGTACATGTATAATTTTGATTTAGTGATACAACGTCTATCTTGATCATCAAACAATAATAAAGAATCTGGAATATGCAATGTCGCTTCTTTCACATCGTGATTGCCATAATGTAAAGCTAAAAGTCAGTCAATTGGAAAACATAACAAGACTGCTCGTATCAGGGCGAAGCCTTGAATGTTCCGACTGCCTTTTAAGGTTTATGGAGCAGTAATAACATTTAAAAAATCAATGAAATAAAGCAAAATGAAAAAAAAAAATTCTAAAATTTGAATTTTTTTATGAAAAACATCCCCCCACACGCCATATAAAGTACAAAAGGATAGATTTCGCTCCTTGTAACAAAACAATTATGGCAAATAAGCTTCTTTTGACCAATTTGGAACAATTTTTATGGTGGATTAACTCTCCGTTTACGCGTTAATAGCGCGAAACATATCGCGCGTTAATTGTCCCAGATTGGCCAAAATGGCATACTTTAAACCCCCGTAACTTTACAAAAAACAATCACAGGTGAAATATCTTTTCAAATTTGAGCTCAGGACAACAATATCTTTCGAATGATATAAAAAATTCTGTCAAAAATGGCTTGTTAAAAAGTCGAAATTTGACTGAAGAAAAAAAAACCCAATACGAGCACAAATATTCCGTTACTTTCGTATCGAAAGTCGGAACAACAAGACTACTCGTTTCAGAACGAAGTCCTGAAAAATCCGACTGGGTTTTAATTTTTATGGACTAGTTTTAAATAATTGATAAAAATTTCAAAAAAAAATTCAAAAATTTTCTTTGGATGTTTTTTTTTTGAAAATAATCCCACACACACAATGTTAAGTTGAAAGTGATATATTTTGAATACAGCTAAACTTTAAATAGGCCAAAAAGCATTCCTCAATTTAATTTAAAACGCTTGCTAAAACGGATCAAATCTCTGGTTACGCGTTAATAGCACGAAAAATATCTCGCGTTAATTGTCCCAAATTGGCTATCTTTAAACCATCATAACTTTACTAAGAATGATCACAACTAAGATATATTTTTGAGTTTAAGCTAAAGACAACAATACTTTTGAATGAAATTAACAATGCTATAAAGAAACAAGACTGCTCGTATCAGGGCAAAGCCCTGAATGTTCCGACTGCCTTTTAAGGTTTATGGAGCAGCAGTAATAACATAAAAAATTAAATGAAATAAAAAAAAATGAATTTTTTTTTTAATTTGACGGTTTTTATGAAAATCATCCCCCCACACGCCATATAAAGTACAAAAAATAGATTTTGTTCCTTGAAACAAATCAATTATGGCAAATAAGCTTTCCGCTTACGCGTTAATAGCGCGAATTATATCGCGCGTTAATTGACCCAAATTGATCAAAATGGCCAAAATGGCAATCTTTAAACCCTAGTAACTTTACGAAAAGTGATCACAGGTGAAATATCTTTTCAAATTTGAGCTCAGGACAACAATGGCTTTCGAATGATATAAAAAAATTCCGTCAAAATGGCTAGTTAAAAAGTCGAAATTTGTCTGAAGAAAAAAAACCCACCCCGAGCCCAAATATTCCGTTACTTTCGTATCGAAAGTCGAAACAAAAACTGCTAGTTAGAAAGTCAAATTGAAATTTCTCTGGAGAAAAAAAACAAAAAAGCACAGCCGAGCACAAATATTCTGTCACTTTCTTCGAAAATTGGAACAAAAATGGAATGGAATGTGCTTTTACTCGTAATTTCAGTTTCTGCAAACATATAGTCAAAAAAATTCTACTGAATCTTAAAGCATGATATCAATTCAAAAATCAAAAGTGTTAGGAATCAAATACTTCACTCTTAAAACTGCATAAACACTGGATTACACTGAATTTTGTTTGTATTTTGTTTGGGTTTAAAATAAAACTAATGTTCTCGTTCACATTAACTGAAAAACATCATTTCTGATCATTTCCTTAATTCTTAACAATTTTTGCTTAGTGAATTTCAAACAAACTGTCAAATTTTAGATTGAAGCACAATCTTCATAACACCACTTATGTTTCTCCAAAATTGTTATGTTCATTTTTTTTCCATGAACCATAAGTAGGAACTCTATCTTCGATTACAGGTTTACATAAGTGTTAAGAAGGTCAAGCACATCTTTCTCGTCCCAATTTTTTTTATTGTATACAGAACAATAGTGTTCTTTTTTTGCTTACCGGCTTGAAATTTGTAGATTATAATTGAGCAACTCAGCGAGCCTGTAGTCGTCAGAAAAGGACTTTAAAACGGTGTCATCAAAAACTTTTGTTTTAACCTTCATCTCTGCGAAATTATCAATTCCATTTTTTAGTCTGTGATCACGTTTTATTAGCAATTTAAGTCAATGTTTTCCTGGATGAGTACAAGAGAGTGCAACGGTACTAAAATCATTAAATATAAGATTAGGCACTAGGCAGGCTAGTTTAGACAAACAATTCTTCGCCCAACTTGGTTTATATCACTTTGTAATGACATTGGGTTAAGGGCGTTTTTGTAATTGAAAAGGTTGAGAACTTCAACCAGTGGGTAAAACTTCAACCAAATCTTATATTATAAATTACTTTAGAAATTCTGAAAGTCAGAAAATTTTATTTTGCATTTTGCCCTAATACAAGCCGACGTGGTGTGCTAACGGATACAACGTGATTCCACTTTGTATCCGTTTGAGTGCCAAACGTTCGAGTGCTTAACAACGCTACATTTAACTTAATCTGTTTGCAAAACTATCGAGAAAAAATTGATCGTAAGATAAAAAATTAAATCAGAAAATAAGCTTTGGAAAACAACATAGAGTATATCTTTAGAAAACAAGAATCTTCTTAACAATTTTCCGCATAATGATAGATAACAGTAACTATTATCCACGTATCGAACACTAAGAAAGGGTGTTAAAATGAGCTTTCCACAACTCCGAAAAAAAAGAAAATTGATAAGATGCATCAATAAAACATTCGAATTTTATTAATTTCTCCTTGACTCTGCGTTTTACTATCACGCGAACGATCATTTTTTTTGCTGTAAGTTTTTTGCCGAGAACTGATGATGCGTTTCTGATTTAGATTTGCGATCATTGTTTTTAGGTAATTTTTGCGAACTTGAGCAAGCAGGAGAATGCTGACTCATTTGCGAATAAAAAAATCGTTTTTATGAAAAAACGCATTATGGGGAGCGCTTAATAAATCGTAAAAAAAACAAAGCGGAAATTGGTAAGAAGATCCTGCTAACTAGTTAACTTCAGTTAAATTTTTGACCGCATGCATCCAGCCGAGACTAGAAGGGGAGGGGCATTTGTCCAACCAGTCGAAGCACTTTTTAACCGACTGATTGATTGATTCCTGAGTTGGGTTGTCCTGATGCAATGTTATTTCGTCGTCTGGATCTCCGTAACCACTGCACGTTTCTAAATCATTTATCCAGGGTCTATCTGGCTGTAGATGGTATCTGGCATCATATCCAGGCATCGCGAAATATTGGATGCTAGTTCGCCTGGCTAACATGTTTCTGTCAACTGGAAATTTGTGTCGTGATGATTTTTCGAAATTAGCTGTTGTGGCGCCTATAGAAACATGACTGTTTCTGCGATTTAAAACGCCCCCTACCGTCGTTTCTCGGCGCAGAATTTTTAGAGGTTCTTCTAGAATATTCGACGGAACTGTTTTGGTTGCAGTTGGTGTTCGTTTTTGTGCAGCAGTTGACTGAAATGATTGACTTCGCTTTGTCACACTTTCGCTATTATTGTTGTTGTCAACTCGGATTCCTGTACTCGGGATACTGCTCGCAATGTTTTGCCCAGGTGATTGTTTTTGATAATTATTGTTTCCATTTTTGGATGCTGTTTTTGGTCGGTTTGTCAATTCAGCTCGTGTTTCGACGTTATTTGCAGTTCGAAAACTTGAAAGTTTCCTTGGTCCTTGAGATGTCATAACGCGACTCAATTCACTCGTATTAGAAGACAGTGAAAAAGACTGAATAGTTTGCTTTTCTTGTGAAATAATTTTGTCGGCTTCGTTCGGGTTTTGTAAAACGTAGTCTTTCGCTGCTTTCGACGAATCATTCTCGGTTAACTTTAACCCAATGCGTTCGGTTATTTGACGTAACTCGGCTCTGTAAGTTTTCTCGAGCGGTATGTAGACTTTGATGTCGCGAGATACCAAGTCCTCGCGATCAGGTATCCGAGAGGTCTTCAACGAGTTGCTACGTTTTGGATCAATGTTGCAATTTTCGAGCCATTTCTCAGCCAATGAAATCACTTCCTTCCCGACCACTGGTTTTCTATAATTATTTTGTGAAAATTTCCGTAAGTTTTCTTTACTTTGCGGTTGAATAAAATTGCGGTCCGAAGTTTTGCTTCTTACAAGGTTCAACTTTTCTATAGACTGTTGTCCAACTCTTGTGGTTAAGGATGGTTTGATTTTGGGGCCAGTACTAAAACTACTATTTCGTTTTGCATCTGTCATCACCGCCATGAACGCAAATAACATCCACAGTAAGTACACAGAAATGTAGATTTAAAAAGCTACATTATTCGAAGCAGTTTGTATCCGCCTTTTTTGCATGTTGGTCCAA